TTCAGATAAACTTGGTCTGGACGAGAGTGAAGCTCCTCAGAGCAAAAACGAGACGCAGAACCTGAGAGAAGTTTGTGTTTTGGTGTTTTGGTGTTTTTCAGGTGGGGCTCCATCAGGCCCTGGTGCTCACAGACATCAGCGTGATCCTGATCCAGGTCGGGGAGCCGGGTCCTGGGGGGTACTCCCACCTGCCCCCCGCCCTCCAGCACCTGACCCGGAGGAGCGCCCCCCTCAGGTGGAGCCCGGGACCCGGCGCCGCCCGCGCTCGCTCCCGCTTCTGGAAGAGAGTCCGCTACCTGATGCCCGCCACGCCCGTCCCGCCAAACCTCCTGTGCCCCGTGTGAGGGGCGGAGCTTATCCTACGAGTCAGAGTGTGACGCTAACTGTGAGCACTGCTCTGTCTGGACGAGAAAACCTCCGGCATCTGAACAAGATCAGAGACGCTCACGTGTCCAGAACATCAGAACACGACCGAACCACCACAGATTCTGCCCTCCTGCCCCCGTCTGCCCCCGTCTGCCCCCGTCTGTCCCCGTCTGCCCCATCTGTCCCCGTCTGTCCCCGTCTGCCCCCGTCTGCCCCCGTCTGCCCCCGTCTGCCCCTGTCTGCCCCCGTCTGTCCCCGTCTGCCCCCGTCTGCCCCCGTCTACCCCTGTCTGCCCCCGTCTGCCCCCGTCTGTATTATTATGAATGATGAAGTTCTCTTGTTTTTAGTTGATGTGGCAGATCTTTTCCTCTGGATATTTGAGATTTTAAACTCTTACAGGTCTTGTCTTTTTTATATGGCAGGATTGTTCTGCTGTTTTGTTTTGTTTATTTTGTTGATGGTTTGGTTTCATTTTAAAGTTTTGTTGTATCATTTTTAACCTCTCGTTCCAGTGCACTGTAAATAAATGTGGTTTTAATATTTGCCGTCGTCTTTGGGCTTTTGACTTTAGTTTGGTTTAAGTTCCTGAGTCGTACATTTGTTTTTGCACTTTGGGTTTTAAAATTTTGTTTAAATTTCGTGGCAGCACTTTTCGTTTTGTTCTGGGTCGTCTCAAGTCGACTTTGTTTCCTCGACTCGGGGGCTGCAAAGTTTTATTGTTTTTTGTTTTGTATTAATAAATATTGGCCTTTTTTGTTTTTGTTTTTAACCACCGTCCGGTTTTAGTAGAACAAATATTTTAATTCTTTACTTGCTCCTTTAATAAATAATTTATATTATTATTTATTTATTTTTTATTTTTATTTTAATTGTGTCTGTCAAGTCTTTACTTTGGGAATGCAGCTCCAACTTGAAAAACCCAGGGAAACAAACACAAGGCTCAACACAGCTTGAAGTTTTTATTGAAATAATTTGAATCTTTTAGTAGTAGTAGTAGTAGCAGCAGCAGTAGCAGTAGCAGTAGTAGTAGTAGTAGTAGTAGTAGTAGTAGTAGTAGTGGTATTTGTAGTTGTAGTAGCAGTAGCAGCAGGTCGAAAACCTTTAAAGTAAACAAATGTGTAATGAAATTAAATTTACATTTTACAATCTCAGTTATATATATTTTTATTTTAATTAATACACTTCAATTATAATATTTATATATATATATATATATATATTTATTGTATTTTATAATATTTAGTATACATTTTATACATGAACTTAAATAGCTATAATTTTAACCAATCATTTTACCAATACATTTTTAATCCTATAACTGTATAATTTTATACAGTTTTAAATAAGTACATGAAATGTAATATTTTATTATTTCTAAACAAATTTTGATAAATAAATACACTGTTTTTTAATTGCTAAATAACATATATATATTTTTAACTAGAGCTACTTTAACTTAGAATTTACATCATTTACTTTAAATCAGATTTATTACTTTATAAATAAACTATTTAGTTATTCAACTTGGCTCTATTTTGGCATTTTCAAACTTAAATTGAATTTATTTACTATTTCCTTTACAATTAAAGCTAATTTTAAAGGTACATTTCCTCACCAGTGTCTCTGTGTTTCCTTCACGTTCCTTCGTTTGGTTTTGTTTGTGTTTACACACCTGGACAGAATGAAAGACTCCACAGACTCACCTGGTCACCTGATTGTTTTGGTCGTGCTGCCACCTACTGGCCAGACTAAAAATAACCTCATCAACTCATAAAAAACGGGGAGGAGAGGAGAGGAGAGGGAGGAGAGGAGAGAGAGGAGGGGAGGGAGGAGGAGGGAGCAGAGGAGGGAGGAGCGAGGGATCAGGAGTGGAGGTGAAGACTTTTTCACTTGACAGTGTCTTTTAAAGTCACGTCTCTGTTTTTTATCTGTGATCTTGGGCGTTTTATGATATTGTATTTCAAAGTTTATTTATTGAAGAGGCACCTGAGGTCACACTGACATTTTATTTTTTTGGGCTTATTTAGAATTTATTCATGTTATTTATATATATTTTTTTTACCTTTTGTTATTATATAATATTGTGATGTGTGACTCCTGTGTCCAAATCATTTCAATAAAGTTTGTCTAAGTTTGAGAGAAAAAGCAAATGGAAGTAAAGTCTCCAAATGAAACACCTGAACCTCCAGCTACGTGATGAAACAGAATCTGCCACTCGAGGAACTTCACGAGAAAACTAAACGTCTTTCTTCACCTTTAATAATAACGACAGTTTAATTTTGTCACGTACATGTTCACAGGATTAAATAAAAAACAGCAGGTCATAAACTTCAAGTCCTCATCAAGACACAAGTCCCTCCAGTGTGTCCCCGGGGCCTCCAGGAGCAGCGGCTCTACTCCGAGCTCCTCTGTCTCTTTCTCTATCTCTATCTCGCCTTTTTCCGGGCGAGAACCACGACCTCGGATTTGGAGGAGCCGATCTTCATCCCAGACGCTTCACACTCGGGTCAAACCAGCCCAGGAGCCTCATTTATAAATCTCACTTACGCAAAAATCTGTGCGTTGTCGCTTCCTACACCAACCGCAGTATTTATAAAACTCGACTAAGGCGTGGCTCTTTGTTTAACTCTACGCCAACTCAGAACCTCCTGTAAACTTTACACAAAGTCTGGAGACACGGGGAAAAAGCGACACTCGTGGAGAGAAGCAGAAGTGAACAGAGTTTGAGGAAGAGTTTGATCAGAAAATCCACGTATAAAGAAGAATGACCTTCTGATTTGTACATTTAAGTGTTTGGTTCAACAAAACACGGAGAAGAGCTGTTTATTCCATCATTATTCTCCACAATATTATACATTTAAACTCGTGCACGAGCGCGGACACGTTCCCGGACTCGGTGAAGCGCAGAGTCCCACAGTCCACACCACGACCACAGACACAGACTGACCAACACAGACTGACCAACACAGACTGACCAACACAGACTGACCAACACAGACTGACCAACACAGACTGACCAACACAGACTGACCAACACAGAGGACGAAATAATGACCCGACCTGAGACTAAACTCTTCCCTCGGACGCAGCAGGAGCCAGACTTTGATTTAATGAACAAAACTTTAACACTTTTACTTTAGTCTTTACGCACCGAGCGCCAGAGTGACACGAGTCTGTGACCCGAGTCTGTGACCCGAGTCTGTGACCTGAGTCTGCGCACGACACGAAGCCCACTGCCCAAACCTGACCCCAACCAAAATCTGCCCTACATGTTTGTGTAATGGGGAACTGAGCACAATGACCCAGACCCACACTCACAGACCCACACTCACAGACCCACACTCACACTCACAGACCCACACTCACACTCACAGACCCACACTCACAGACCCACACTCACAGACCCGCACTCAACAGCCCACACTCACACTCACAGACCACACCACAGACCCAGACCCACAGACCCACACTCACAGACCCACACTCACACTCACAACCCACACACACTCACAGACCCACACTCACAGACCCACACTCACACTCACAGACCCACACAGACCCACACTCACACTCACAGACCCTCACAGACCCACACTCACAGACCCACACTCACAGACCCACACTCACACTCACAGACCCCACTCACAGACCCAGACCCACACTCACAGACCCACACTCACAGACCCGCACTCACAGACCCACACTCACAACCCACACTCACAGACCCACACTCACACTCACAGACCCGCACTCACAGTCACACTCACAGACCCACACTCACAGACCCAGACCCACAGACCCACACTCACAGACCACACTCACTCACAGACCCACACTCACAGACCCACACTCACACACTCACACCACAGACCCACACTCACACTCACAGACCCACACTCACACTCACAGACCCACACTCACAGACCCACACTCACAGACCCACACTCACAGACCCACACTCACACTCACAGACCCACACTCACAGACCCACACTCACAGACCCACACTCACAGACCCACACTCACACTCACAGACCCACACTCACACTCACAGACCCACACTCACAGACCCACACTCACAGACCCACACTCACACTCACAGACCCACACTCACACTCACAGACCCACACTCACACTCACAGACCCACACTCACAGACCCACACTCACAGACCCAGACCCACACTCACAGACCCACACTCACACTCACAGGTTCAGCAGTTTGGATGTTTCGTGTGGACTTTCATTGTCAGAATAACATCTGTATCTGATGTGTTTTCATGTTAAACCTGTGTCCTCGTGTCCTTCCCTCGCTCCTTTCCCTCTCCAGGGGAGGGCATCTGAATCTCTCGCACGCGCTCATAATTTGACCGTTCAGATCAGCGCGTGCACGTATCTACGTGTATATGCATAAATATACATTAAATACACAGGACCAGTCCACACACACGTCATAGACAGACTTAAAAATATAGAGATAAAACTGTTGAAACAGTGAAAAAACACATGTTTTACTGCAAAGATGTGCTGCCTAAATATTATAAAAAATGATTAAATGAACAGATGAGTCGTTGTTGTCACTTTTACTTTTGTATTTATTTATTAAACCTTGTTTAATAAAGTCTTTAATAAAGTGTTTGTCGTGATCACGTGGTGCTGTGTGGAGCCTCCTCCCTCTGTCCCGCGTGTCTCGGTCAAACCCACTGATTATCGACTCAAATCTCATTCACAAGTCACTTTTACCTGCTCCTTTTATGGTGGTGAGGTGAGGGGGCTGGAGGTTTGAGGGGCGTGGTCTGTCCTTTTATGGTGAGGTGGAGGTGTGAGGAGGCGTGGTCTGTCCTTTTATGGTGAGGCGGAGGTGTGAGGGGCGTGGATGGTGTGGAGGTGAGGGGGCGTGGTCTGTCCTTTTATGGTGAGGCGGAGGTGTGAGGGGCGTGACGTGGGTTTACGTGCGCAAATTCTAGTTGCAGGTGGATTTATAAATCACAGGTTGCAGGTTTGGTTCGTGCGGTGGGTTTTCTAAATATGGAGTTTGTGGCGCACGCCTCTCGTACCTACAGACGAACGCACGAACTTACGACAACTCCTGCGCAGTTTTTTATAAATGAGGCCCCAATCTGCAGGTCCTGGTCTGATGAAGACAACAGGACATTATGATCTGTGAACAGCAGAGATGATCCTGTGGTCCCCAAACTCACAATTCGTAATTGTGTCACAGCTGTCCTCAGTTTGCTCCACTCCGCCTGATGTTCAGACACGACACTCGGACCGTTGAGATGTCCACACCTCACACTTCTGCTCGTGCTGAGATCGGGGGGGCGAGCTCGGGCCCTTCGTGTTTTTTCCAGACGAGAGCGACGTGTAAATCGAGATGACACACGGAACGTCTTTAAGTTTTGTCTCTGTCCGTGTGCGTCCTCATGTGTTTTATGACGTGACTCTTTTGGTTAAACGCTTTCTCGCACACGGAACAGCTGTAGGGTTTGACTCCCGTGTGCGTCCTCATGTGATTGGTGAGATTACCCTTTTGGTTAAACGCCTTCTCGCACACGGAGCAGCTGTAAGGTTTGTCGCCCGTGTGCGTCCGCATGTGTTTCGTCAGGTTGCTCTTTTGGTTAAACGCCTTCTCGCACACGGAGCAGCTGAAAGGTTTGTCGCCCGTGTGCGTCCTCATGTGCTTCGCGAGGACGCTCGTGTGGTTAAACGACTTCTGACAGACGGAGCAGCCGTAAGGTCTGTCCCCCGTGTGCGTCCTGACGTGTTCTGTGAGGTTACTCTTGTGATTGAACGACTTCTGGCACACGGAACAGCTGAAAGGTTTGTCCCCCGTGTGTGTTCTCGTGTGCTGTTTGAGGTGACTCTTTTTGTGAAACGCTTTCTGACACACCGAACAGCTGTAAGGTTTGTCTCCTCCGTGTCTTTTAAAACGCTCTTTAAACCCACGTCGCTCTTTACAAAACGAACACGGGTGCTTCTTCCCCGCAGCTCCTCCTCGGGCTGTTTGCGGCGCGTTTCCGTTGTCCGCGGCGGCTCCGGTCTCTGGTGCGCGGTTCTCGTGTTCGGGGGACAGACCTGAGTTTGAAGCGGCGGCGCCTCCGGTTCGGGCCTGGACCCGGTCGCGGTGATCCCCGTCCTCTTCCGTGTCCACCCGCCTGGACGAACAGCTGAATGGAGCGCTCCACTCTTCATCGGTGTCGGTTTGAGAGGAGTGCTCCGTGTCTCCGTCGGTGTCGGGGTGGACGTGCGTCTCGGAGGTGACGTCCTCTCTGGGATCTGTCTGGAGCTGTGAGGACTCTTCTGTCTTTACACGACGTCACTGGACTCAGGGACGGAGCTGAAGAGAAGAAAAACAAATCTACATAAATCAAAAGTTTGGAATCATCATCCTGATTAGAAATCAAACTGTGTGTGTCTAAAGAAATTATTATTATAACTTAAATATGACTCATATAAACCTGAACAAGGAGAATAGACCTGGTTTAGTCCTGGTTTAGTCCTGGTTTAGACCTGGTTTAGTCCTGGTTTAGTCCTGGTTCAGTTCTTTTGGTGAACCCTGTACAAGAAGTAAAGTAACAGTTTATATTTCTGTCTTTTCTCAAATGTCTCTGAATTGTGTTTTATTTCTAATCTGATCATATTTTATAATAAACTGTGTTAAAGTTGTGGGACTCACACTTGCAGCTGCTCTTCCTCCTGTTTGATGCTCTGTTCTTCTGGTTCCTCTTTAAGCTCTGGAGTTTCTGGGATTTCCTGTTTCAGAGTAAAACCAGGACTCAGAGAGAACATCTGGACACCTGCAGGAGACCAGAGGGAAACAAAACTCAGAACTCCTCACCGTCCTGGTCCAGACCACAGCGCTCGGGATTATAAGACGCTCTGTCATTGAATGGACTATTTACAAACTCTTTTCACAAATAAACTGCACCGGACTTGGTTGGTTCCTGGTTTAGTCCTGGTTTAGTCCTGGTTTAGACCTGGTTTAGACCTGGTTTAGTCCTGGTTTAGTCCTGGTTTAGTCCTGGTTTAGACCTGGTTTAGACCTGGTTTAGACCTGGTTTAGACCTAGTTTAGTTTTAGTCCTGGTTTTAGACCTGGTTTAGTCCTGGTTTAGACCTAGTTTAGACCTGGTTTAGACCTGGTTTAGACCTGGTTTAGACCTGGTTTAGTCCTGGTTTTAGTTCCTGGTTTAGTTTAGTTTAGACCTGGTTTAGACCTGGTTTAGACCTGGTTTAGACCTGGTTTATTCCTGGTTTAGTCCTGGTTTAGTCCTGGTTTAGTCCTGGTTTAGACCTGTTTAGTTTTAGTCCTGGTTTTTCCTGTTTAGTCCTGTTTAGTTCCTGGTTTAGGTCCTGGTTTTAGACCTGGTTTAGACCTGTTTTTAGACCTGGTTTATTCCTGGTTTAGTCCTGGTTTAGTCCTGGTTTAGACCTGGTTTAGACCTGGTTTAGACCTGGTTTAGTCCTGGTTTAGTCCTGGTTTAGACCTGGTTTTAGTCCTGGTTTAGTCCTGGTTTAGACCTGGTTTAGACCTGGTTTAGTCCTGGTTTAGAGTCCTGGTTTAGTCCTGGTTTAGTCCTGGTTTAGTCTGGTAGTTTAGACCTGGTTTTAGACCTGGTTTAGTCCTGGTTTAGACCTGGTTTAGTCTGGTTTAGTTCCTGGTTTAGACCTGGTTTAGTCCTGGTTTAGTCCTGGTTTAGTCCTGGTTCAGTTCTTTGGTGAGAGTTAAAGTTCTGTAATATTTGTGTAATATTTTATATTTTATATTTTATATCCAGTCATATTGTGATGTAACGAATCACTTTGAAATGACAGAAACAAGAAATAAATAAAAAACACATGAGAGTTTTGAAGTCACTTGTCCAACAGTGTTATTCAATATTTAACTTTTGCATTTGCACATTTATAAGATGATGTTAAGACAGCGGGTTACTGTGTTTGATCGTGTCACAGAGACTTGAGTGTCCCGGTTTCTCCGCGCTCACAGAAACTCACCGTGGGTTTGAGAGGAGTGCTCCGTGTCTCCGTCGGTGTCGGGGTGGACGTGCGTCTCGGAGGTGACGTCCTCTCTGGGATCTGTCTGGAGCTGTGAAGACTCTTCTGTCTTTACACGACCGTCACTGGACTCAGGGACGGAGCTGAAGAGAAGAAAATAAAGAAATTAGTGGTGTCAAATTATCGCGTTAATTGCGATTAATTAGTCATATTTAGCGCTTAATGTTTTTTAATCGTGTTAATCTTATTTTTAATCTGTAACTTTACTGTTTCTGTGTGACTTGTCTTATTATAAAATGTGTTTTTATGTTGTTGGGACACAGTCGCACTGTTCAGTCCTGCTCCACTCGCTCCCACAAACAATTGTAATTTTCATTCTGGTTCTCGCCGCATCTGTGATAAACATCACGACACAAACACAGAACAGACTCACCATCAGCAGAACACCCCTCTGTCACACAGAGAGAACACCCCTCTGACACAGAGAGAACACCCCTCTGACACAGAGAGAGAACACCCCTCTGACACAGAGAGAACACCCCTCTGACACAGAGAGAACACCCCTCTGACACAGAGAGAACACCCCTCTGTCACAGAGAGAACACCCCTCTGACACAGAGAGAACACCCCTCTGTCACACAGAGAGAACACCCCTCTGACACAGAGAGAACACCCCTCTGTCACAGAGAGAACACCCCTCTGTCACAGAGAGAACACCCCTCTGACACAGAGAGAACACCCTCTGTCACAGAGAGAACACCCCTCTGTCACACAGAGAGAACACCCCTCTGATCACACAGAGAGAACACCCCTCTGTCACACAGAGAGACACCCCTCTGACACAGAGAGAACACCCCTCTGTCACAGAGAGAACACCCCTCTGTCACACAGAGAACACCCTCTGTCACAGAGAGAACACCCCTCTGTCACACAGAGAGAACACCCCTCTGTCCACAGAGAGAGAACACCCCTCTGTCACACAGAGAGAACACCCCTCTGACACAGAGAGAACACCCCTCTGACACACAGAGAGAACACCCCTCTGTCACACAGAGAGAACACCCCTCTGTCACAGAGAGAACACCCCTCTGTCACAGAGAGAACACCCCTCTGACACACAGAGAGAACACCCCTCTGTCACACAGAGAGAACACCCCTCTGTCACAGAGAGAACACCCCTCTGACACAGAGAGAACACCCCTCTGACACAGAGAGAACACCCCTCTGACACAGAGAGAACACCCCTCTGACACAGAGAGAACACCCCTCTGTCACAGAGAGAACACCCTCTGGAGAGAACACCCCTCTGTCACACAGAGAGAACACCCCTCTGTCACAGAGAGAACACCCCTCTGACACAGAGAGAACACCCCTCTGTCACAGAGAGAACACCCCTCTGACACAGAGAGAACACCCCTCTGTCACAGAGAGAACACCCCTCTGACACAGAGAGAACACCCCTCTGTCACACAGAGAACACCCCTCTGTCACACAGAGAGAACACCCCTCTGTCACAGAGAGAGAACACCCCTCTGACACAGAGAGAACACCCCTCTGTCACAGAGAGAACACCCCTCTGTCACAGAGAGAACACCCCTCTGACACAGAGAGAACACCCCTCTGACACAGAGAGAACACCCCTCTGTCACAGAGAGAACACCCCTCTGTCACAGAGAGAACACCCCTCTGTCACAGAGAGAACACTCATATTCCACTGAGTCATGTCTTTTAATCCAACACAAGTTGAACCACATCAGCGACACAAGAGCTGGAGTTTTATCTTCACTTAGTTTATGTAAATTAGTGATGTGGTTTTAAGTTTTGTTTCTGTGAGATTTGAACAAAACTGAATTAAACACATTATAATGTCAAACAGCTGATGTGGATCTAGAGTCGTTATGTTTATATGTCGTAAAGTTGAATTTATTGATGCAGATTAGTAACAGGAATAATGATGATGATACTTATATAAAAACATTAATGATTGTATGAAAATTATGTAATAATGAATTTAAATGAAAATATCTCAAGTTGAAGTTTTTCTCAGCAATTTTTAGGTGAGATTAAAAAAGAGATTAATTAGATAAATTAATTACAGATCATAATTAATCTCTCCATTTTTTAATCTCTTGACAGCACTAAAATTAAAATCTACATAAATCAAAAGTTTGGAATAATCATCCTGAGGAGAAATCAAACTGTCTGTAGAAATTATTATTATAATTTATATATAACTTATATAATCCTGTACAAGGAGTAAAGTAACAGTTTATATTTCTGGCTTTTCTTAAATGTCTCTGAATTGTGGTTTATTTCTAATCTGATCATATTTTATATAGGGCTGGGCAAAAATAAAAAAAATTTAATCGCGATTAATCGCATGAGTTCGAGCGATTAATCGCATGTTATACGCAAAACCAATGAATGAATTAAAAAGTAGAGTATAGTGTCTTTTATTGGAAATGTAAATGAAAGAGCCAAACATTTGTTGTACAAACAGAACATTTCTTTCACAGTTGAACCTCAGAGTTTTCAAGGTTTTCAGTGAAGACTCAAGAAAAAATACTGAATGGACGTTTGTACAACTAATATATTTATTGAATATTTTTTATGCTGTGAGTAATGAACACGACACTAGTAATAATTTCTACATCAGTGTTATAAACTTGGACTGATATTTCTTGGAAACAAAGGGTTAATATAATGAAATGGAAATGGACCAATCACAGTTTTTCTTCCAGTTGTATCTGGGTCAATCAGTGACTCCAGCACTGAACTAAACAAATAAACTCAGCTCAGAGCCACGGCTGGTCCGGCCAGAGCCGGTGCCCGCGGCCGAACCTGCGGCCGGAGCTGTGGCCGAACCCGCAGCTGAGTCCGCGGCTCGCAGAGGCTCGGGCTCGTTGCATCTCACGTGGTCAGAAAAAAGTGAAAAAAGTGTCAAGAAAAGACGTCAAACTTAAAGAAACGCTCACGGTGGATTTTTTCAAAATAAAAGCCAGTGAGAAACAGACGTTTACAATAAAATAAATAAATAAATAATAAAAACGGCGTTAACGGCGTTAAAATAATTGTCGGCGTTAATTACTTAATTAGTTAAAGCAAAGTTAACGCGTTAACGTACCCGGCCCTAGTTTTATAATAAACTGTGTTAAAGTTGTGGGACTCACACTTGCAGCTGCTCTTCCTCCTGTTTGATGCTCTGTTCTTCTGGTTCCTCTTTAAGATCTGGAGTTTCTGGGATTTCCTGTTTCAGAGTAAAACCAGGACTCAGAGAGAACATCTGGACACCTGCAGGAGACCAGAGGGA